TGCTGTTTAAAAGTTTGAGGTTGGTGCATTTTTAAAAATGTTTTTAAGGGAAGTCTCTTCTGCTCACCAAGGCTGCATTTGTTTGATGCAAAATACAGTAAAAACAGTAATACTGTGAAACATTATTACATTTTAAAATAACTGTTTTCCATTTGAATATATTTTAATGTCACTTATTTGTGATGCAACACTGAATTTTTAGCATCATTACTCCAGTCTTCAGCGTCACATGATCCTTCAGAAATCATTCTAATATACTGCTCGAGAAACATTTCTGATTATTATTATCAGTTGAAAACAGTTGTGCTGCTTCATATTTTTGTGAAAACGGATGAATTTATTCAGCATAAGAACAATCTTTTGTAACATTATAAATGACTTTAGTCACTTTTGATCAATTTAATGTGTTCTTGCTGAAAAAAAAATTTAATTTCTCTAAAAAAAATGATTTGCTGACCCCAGATGGTAGTGTAGTTTTATTATCTTATAAAAAATTTTTTTACACAATGATAATAGAAAGCTGCAGTGGAGAGGATGAATGATTTGTTCTTTAAATGAAATGAAAGCCAAACAGCAGCACTGATAAAGGTCCAATGAATCTTTTATTTGTAAGGCACCATAAATACTTCCTTACTGCTCAATCTCTCATAGTAAATGTTTTAACCTTTTTTCTTCCCACAATCATCTTTAAATGAAGTTAGAATAGCACAAACAACATACATTTCCATCAAGAACATCATGTTACATACAACACACACGCACATTTTAAAAAACTACTACAAAGCTTCAAAATGTGGCAAATATCAGAACTGTCAGAAGAGGGAGGCTTCAGGAATCGTTACGTAACAAACTCGTCTTTTTCAGCTGATGTTTATGAGATTGAGACCAAGTCAGAACCACTGAACAAATCATGTATCCTTTAGCAACTAGAACCAGTCGAGACCAGCCAGTGCTACGCTCATCTAAACTAAGCAGAGCGGAAATGTTTGATTTGACCATTAACTGATCATAGATTTCTGTATAGCCTGCGCTAAATGTCCTCTGGGCCACATACACCATAAACATAGCTGTATACATACAAAATTGTTTACAAAATTAAATGTATATTGATATATTTATACATGATGTATATAAATTGGCCGACAGTTTTTGAAATCAAGCAAAATCAACTGGAAAAAAGCCAGAAAACGTAATTTATTAGAGATTAAAATAAGAAACCAAGGGCTCAGCGGTGAGCGTTTCTTAGCATACATCAGCACTGCAGTACTGAAAAACAACAAAAATACTAAGAAATCATGGGACGAAGGCTAATACTCCCTAGACACATACAAGAAATAAATTTCCAGGAATGCACAATCATAAAATACCCACAATGCACCAGTGCATATGTACAACCTTAGGTAGTCTTGTCTTTAAAACAGCCTGGAATACTAGCATACTAAGTACTGAGCAGTATATACTGTGTGCTGCTTTGGGTTTAATTCAGCAAGTAGCGTCCACGTAAAATAAAAAAAAGGTTATTCTGCAAATCACAGTTATATTTATTAAACTGCTTTAGAAAATGATGACAGCTACTTTTATATTAAGAACAATTGTGAGCACTGATATACTGGTAATGCTTTACAATAAGGTTTAATTTGTTAACATTAGTTAACATGAACAACTCTTATTATTTGTATACATTATTAAAATCAAAAGTTCTATCTGTTAACTTGAACTAACATGAACATTTTTATTCGCTAACATTATCAAAGGTTAATAAGTGTGTTCAAAATCCGTTGTTCGTTGTTAGTTCATGCATTAACTAATGTTAACAAATGAGACCTTATTGTAAAGTGTGATTTTAGAAATGTCAATAACTTCAATTAAACAAATATATTTTTTATTTGATTATTTATTATTATTATATTAGAAATACATTTCAGTTTTGCATTTTAGTTTAAAGTTTCATTATTTTAATATTTATAATCAACTTGAAATGCTTTTTAGTCATCTTGAGCAAGTCATCTTTTGAGTCACTAATAATAACATCATTTTAGTCATTAATAGTAACTGAACTTTAGTATCAACTGAAATGCTAAAAACACACCAAAGGTTAATAAGACTGAAATCTAGTGAAAACCACTGCTGTAGTAGTAGTAGTATGATAGTATGCCATTTCAAATACCCGAATACTTCAGCACACACTCATTGGCTGCCACCTGCTGGTCTCACATGAAACCACATTCACTGCAAACCAGAATGACAGAGAAACAAACTGCCTTTTAAACAGAAATGATATGAGGATGTGGGTCTGAATTGGGAATATCTCTTTGTGTCTGTCACTTTCCTACACAGATGCTTGGGCTGTGTGTCACTTCAACCTTTCTGAGGGCAATATAGATAGAGTGTCACCTTTTTATGTAAAACACTAGAAAGAATTCTGTGAAAGGGTCACTACAGTGTTAAAACCCTTAACTAGATATGCCTAGAATAGAATATGATGAAATATATTGAATAGTAGCTAAGAGAGGAATCGACTGCAGGCTTATCTGACATAAACAGAACACTGACTGGCCAACTCAAACACACACAAGCAACATCACAATCAAGTGCTCGGCTGTTCCAGGTGCTATGGTTGCTAGGGTGTTCTATTGTTTTAGCATGTTGCTATGTCACTACTAGAATGTTCTGGGTGGTTGCCAGGGTGTTGTTCTGTGGTTGCTAAAGTGTTCTGAATGGTGCATTGCTATGCAAACGCTAGGGCGTTTGTTTTGGTTGCTGCTGTTGCGATTTCTAAGTTGTTCTAAATGGTTGTTTCGCACACTGCTGTGTTTGAGGTGGATATGCAGTTGCTAGGGTGTTACCAGGTGGTTGCTAGGCCATTCTGGATAGTTGCCAAGGTGTATGCGTGTTCTAGGTGGCTGATGTTCAGAATGTTTTGAGCATGTCGCTTTGCCGCATATGCGTTTGGGGCAGTTGCTAGGGTGCTCTGAATGTTTTTAGCATGTTGCTATGCCACTACTTGAGTGTTCTGGGTGGTTGTCAGGGTTTCGCTTTGTGGTTGTTACAGAACTCTGAATGTTTGTTAGTGCATTGCTATGCAAATGCTAGGCTGTTGCTATGCGGCTTCTAAACTGTTCTGAGTGGTTGACGTTATTGCCAGGCCAATTATTAATGCTACTGTTGCTGCAATTGCTAGGGTGTTACCAGGTGCTTGCTAGGCCAATCTGGGTGGTTGCCAAGGCATCGCTATGTGATTTCAAGATGCTATCCCACTACTAGAGTGTTCTGGGTGGTTGCTAGTCTGTTGCTGTGCAACTGACTGTTGTTTGCACATATGGGTTTGGGGTAGTTGCCAGGGCAGTTATGCAGTTGCTAGGGTGTTGCTATGTGGTTGCTAGGGTCTCACTCTGTGGTTGCTACAGTGTTCTGAAGAGTTGTTAATGCACTATGCAAATACTATTTGATTGGTTGATTGGCATTTGATTGGTTGCTAGGGCGTTGCTGTGCTATTTCCAAATTGTTTTAAGTGGTTGCCAGGGCAGTTATGCAGTTGCTAGGGTGTTAATGGGTGGTCGCCATGGTGTTGCTGCTGAAGTGTTTTGAATGGTTGTTTGTGCATTACTATGCAAACTCTAGGCCATTTTGATTGGTTGCTAGGCTGTTGCTAAGCTGTTCTGGGGTGCGTTTCCCAAAAGCAACTATGGTCGCAAGTTCCGTCGTTACCAATAGATTTCAATGGAACTAACTACCATAGTTAGCTAACGATGCTTTTGGGAAACGCACCCGAGTGGTTGTTTGCGCATGTGTTTGGGGTGGTTGCCAGGACAACTACAAGTTACTAGGTTGTTGCTAGAGCATTGGGTGACTCATAAGTGGATGACGCATCATGAAGTCTCTATTATATTCAGGTCTCTGGATACGGTTTGGGTCTCTCTGTCAATATCTATGGGATTTTTTCATCCATTTATTGACTGCCAGGAAAAATCAAAAGTCACTTACAGTAATAATACAGCTCTCCTCAACAAGACACACAATTTGAGGTATGTTACATGCTGAAGTTTAATACTTAGGGTTAGGGGTTTGTTCAAATCACTAACCCCAAGTATGAGCAATAGTAATAGAGCCTTAGCAAACATCACTAATCAAAAGAAAATTAATCAAACAGAATTACGGAATAAAGATTTGCAGTATTAACAGAGAGAGAGAGAGACTGAATCAGACCCAATCTTGTGAGACAGGAGTAGTAGTTTCGGCAATCTCTCCTCCTCTCTTTCTGCACTCGGTCTCTCTTTACAGACCTCATGACAGAATCAAACTATCTCCATGAAGGCTAGTCGGATTTGTCCGCATCCTCCTCGCGGTGGCCATCGGCCCCGTCACGGGAGCTCTTGTCCTCCTTGGCCAGGTGCGCGTGTGATGCGAGGATGCTGGACAGCGACAGGAGGCCAGAGTTGGAGTTGACGGCGGGCAGGGTGTGCGGAGTCAGGCCCAGGAATCAAACAGAATTACGGAATAAAGATTTGCAGTATTAACAGAGAGAGAGAGAGAGACTGAATCAGACCCAATCCTGTGAGACAGAAGGAGTAGTTTCGGCAATCTCTCCTCCTCTCTTTCTGCACTCGGTCTCTCTTTACAGACCTCATGACAGAATCAAACTATCTCCATGAAGGCTAGTCGGATTTGTCCGCATCCTCCTCGCGGTGGCCATCGGCCCCGTCACGGGAGCTCTTGTCCTCCTTGGCCAGGTGCGCGTGTGATGCGAGGATGCTGGACAGCGACAGGAGGCCAGAGTTGGAGTTGACGGCGGGCAGGGTGTGCGGAGTCAGGCCCAGGGGCAGAGGGGTCATGGGTAACGCCAAACCCTGAAGCTGAGAGAGCTGGTGAACCTGAAGCTGCTGCTGCGTTTACACACACAAACAAACAAACAAACATCCATGGAGGTTAGAGAGAGATCACATATAACTTTCATGTGACTTGACTTGCACGTGCAGTCTTTTTGAAGTTTAATGTAGTTTCGGCAATCTCTCCTCCTCTCTTTCTGCACTCGGTCTCTCTTTACAGACCTCATGACAGAATCAAACTATCTCCATGAAGGCTAGTCGGATTTGTCCGCATCCTCCTCGCGGTGGCCATCGGCCCCGTCACGGGAGCTCTTGTCCTCCTTGGCCAGGTGCGCGTGTGATGCGAGGATGCTGGACAGCGACAGGAGGCCAGAGTTGGAGTTGACGGCGGGCAGGGTGTGCGGAGTCAGGCCCAGGGGCAGAGGGGTCATGGGTAACGCCAAACCCTGAAGCTGAGAGAGCTGGTGAACCTGAAGCTGCTGCTGCGTTTACACACACAAACAAACAAACAAACATCCATGGAGGTTAGAGAGAGATCACATATAACTTTCATGTGACTTGACTTGCACGTGCAGTCTTTTTGAAGTTTAATGACAAAGCCACATTACATTTAATTATGCTGATATGACAGACTATTTTGCAGAATAAATGTACTTTAATGTGGTTTGTTTGAAACTGTACATTTGAATGAATCATGCAAACATGAATCTATGACTGAAAGATTTGCTTGAGTCAAAAAATATTCATGGAAATGTAAATATATATTTTTAGGCCCTACACAATAACACATGAAGTTGACCATTGTGAAGTTCCTACCCGAATAATTGAGTTCATCTCAGGAGGGGTGACCTGTTTGGCTCGCTCAATCGCTCCCAGGACCTGCTGCTGGTGCTACCCACACACACACACACACACACACATTTATCTCAGCATGCATTTAATCTCTTCAGGTAAAAGGAACAATGAACAAAACCCAACAAAAGCCTCTTCTGTCCATAAAAGCAACCCATGACACAAAGCAGCGGCACATTTATGTCACCGATGAGGCTGAGGGTCATTATAGAGAATGTGTCATAAATAAATCACACAGTCTGACCTCTTGAGACAGGTAAGGCAACACCTGAGCACAGATTCCATTCAATCTCTTCACAATCTCCGCCTGCGGACAGAACACAAGCACATCTCATGGGTTTACATCCATTAATAGGGTAGCTGGGGATGCGCTTACAGGCTGCTGATGTTGCACAAAAACACATGAACAACACAGTCAGTCATGATAATGTATGCTGACCAACCGTGTTTGATGAAAGACGCTACTGAATCTAGGACGCTGCATATGTACAAACTATATAAATAGACTTGTGGTTTAAAGGAAACTGCAGATTTGACACAACTATCAATCTAAAGATCTACATATCCTCCTGCCATATTATTTATTAAATATTTTGACAAATAGAATAATGCATTAACTTGCCCCCACATTTGATGCAGAAAATATGCAAAAATTGTGTAGATTCTGGCACAATATTCAGATTCTCACCTGTTTGTGCATTTCAATGTTGAGTCCGTATGACATCTCATAATACTGCAGTCAGAGAAACAGGAAAGAGAAGCGTAAGTAAGATAAAAAATCTCAGGAAAAAAAATTACATTTCAAAATATATATTAAAATAGAAAATAGTTATTCAAAACTGCAATAATATTTCACTATTTTTACCGTATATTTAAATTTTTTATCCACATATAACATATGATAGCTGCACATTTAATCATTCACGTTTTTGGGACATTTGGGACAAACTGGGACATCTCAAAATGTCAAACTGAATCCACCCTATGTGTGTCTCAAAGAGGAAATAAAAACAAGTGTAGAGAGAAGGCAGCAATAACAGCAGAGAATTGGCAGTCAAAACATAATCTTTATATATTAAAAAAACCCATAGAAAATTTCTCTTCAAGCAAAAGAGGTGTAGGAGAAGACATCAATTTAACATCAGTTTTCATGAAACTTCAGAGCGACCCGACCCGACTGTGATTTGGGCTCATGGTTAGGAGCTTTGCTCTGGGCTAAAGCAGCAGATCACTCAGATCTCTGCCGTCCCGCTCAGACACACATTCACATCGATCCGTCAGCAAGACGTCAATACGCTTGTGCACACTTACAACCCATCATACAACTGATCAATGAGACGCTTGTGTATGAATTACTGCAGACGCCCACAGGCTTACAGACAAAATAAAAAAAGAAAAAACATTCAATCACACGAAAAATAAGAACAACATATTTATATAAGAACTAAAGCCAAAACAAAACAAAAATTTAAGAAATGCACATATAAGAACTAAATAAAAAACTATAAAAAGAAATAGGTGGGAACAGCTTCCATATGATCTGCGTATAACTGTAGGTCTGATAAAACATGCATGCTTTACTCACCATTATGTAATGACGCTGCATTTCAGATTTCTCACTCGCCAGTTTATCACATTCCAACTTCAGACTGAAAAATACAAGACAGCATGAGATGTATTACTCATTTCTTGTTAAATGTTGCAAATTACATGATGCCTCTTTAAGTAATGGAAACTTGGAGAAGTTCCCAGGGTTTGAATGACACAGCCTGTATATGACAGCTTTAATATTTACATTTCACCCTAAAACACACACACACACACACACACACACCATTGAGGCTTTTAGCTGCACTTCACCTCACTTTCTCTCTCTCACTCTCAAAGCGGGGAAAAAAAACAAGGAGAATTCTGCAACATTCTATCACCATGACAACCACTTTCCTGTCTGGACAGCCTGATGGAGGCTTGTGATTGGCTGGCCAGGTCTTTAGAAGAATGTAATAATGAAAGAATGTATGATTTTCTCCTTCATATACAACTTTTTATATTAAATAGTTTGTTACACATACATTACCATCCAAAAGTTTGGGGTTGGCAAGATTTAAAAAACATTTTTTTTTTAAAGAAGTCTCTTGTGATCACCAAGGCTGCATTTATTTGCACAGTACAAAATATTGTGAAATATTACAGTTTAAAAGAACTGTTTTATTTTTCAATATATTGTAAAATGTAATTTATTCCTGTGATCAAAGCTGAATTTTCAGCATCATTACAACAGTCTTCAGCGTCACATGATCCTTCAGAAATCATTCTAATATGCTGATTGGCTGCTCAAGAAATTTGAAAATAGAATTTTTCAATAAATTGAATGCATCCTTGCTGAATAAAAATGTATTAAAATAATACAGCACTATATACCTACGATTAAACACTATGAAATTAAAATCTGACATGAGTGCACATTGATTAGCTTTGATGTCATCTATATGCTAGAGTACTCCTAAAAGTTGACAAAATAAACCTTATGTTTATGCATTTAAATATTAAAATTCTTTCTCAGCTGGGAAACCTGTTTATGGTCACATTTTGGAAATAAAAACGTACAAATGCACTCTAGAATGAGAACGTCCCTCCCCCAACACCACCTGCCACCGACTAATAGCAGGTAGTAAATCATGGTTTATGACCGAGATCAGCCCATCCCGACGCCGAAACATCAACACAAGAAAGAAAACGGCATTTGTTAGACCATTTTATGAGGTCTTTAATCACTAAAGCAATAATAATAACAATATTATGTAATCACAAGCAGCTCCACAGAATAATTACTCATTCATTAGCAGTACTTGTGACATGGAGCTGTAAGGTGAAGTGTCCGTGATTTGTTTTAAACATACACCAGAGTTACAGCCTATTGATGCTGAGAATGAATATTCAGCTAAGTCTAAATGAAACAAACATCTAAAGCACCGCAGTGTGTTCTTGAACGATCTGAAAGGCATCAACACGTTCGACTGTTTATCCTTCTCCATTTCCCTCTTCCTTCCTCCGTCCGTGGTTTTTCTGATGTGTGATGGCCGGATGGCCTCAATGATCGCTCTTATCTCTGGTTCTGACAGATGATGACGGGAAGCTTTTCCGGGTGGGGCTGCGTTCACACCATTTGACGTCCCGGAGAGGAATTCACACGGGCAGAGTGTTTTTAGGGTGTAGAGTGAAAGTGAGGAGGAGAGAAACTGCCTGTGCTTCTTAGGGTTGCGTTGAATGTGCGTAAACTAACGGTTAAACTAGTTTTGTGTGTATGAATGCTTTAAAGGGGTCATATGATGTTGCTAAAAAGAACATTATTTGGTGTAATGAAATGTGTTTATGCGGTTTAAGGTTCAAAAAACACATTATTTTCCACATACTGTACATTATTGTTTCTCCTCTATGCCCCGCCTTTCTGAAACGCGTCGATTTTTACAAAGCTCATCGGTCTGAAAAGCAAGGTGTGCTCTGATTGGCCAGCTATCCAGTGCGTTGTGATTGGCCGAATACCTCAAGCATGTGACGGAAATGTTACACCCCTACCATACTGTGATGCCCTGTCCGGCCGGAGCGACAAGACAAAAACATTAAAACCCATTATAAATGAGGCATTTGTTGCATCCAGTGGGGACATAATTACGGATTATAATGACTTATACGGTCGTCTTACACATTGCATCGCGCCGCATAAACAAAACCACGCCTGCATTTGTGATCGGAGAAATGACAAACAACAAGCGCTACTCTACACTGCTCAAAACTTGCGTTTGAATCGTCAGTGGCAAATTCTTTATATATAAAAAAACGTACTTACAGTCTGTAAGTCAGAACATTTTCTATTTTAATATATTTTAAAATTGATTTTATTCCTGTGATGCAAAGCTGAATTTTCAGCATCATTACTCCAGTCTTCAGTGTCACATGATCCTTCAGAAATCATTCTAATATGCTGATTTGCTGCTCAAGAAACATTTCTTTTTATTATCAATGTTGAAAACAGTTGCGCTGCTTCAAATTTTTGAGGAAAATGATACTTTTTTTTCAAGGATTCGGAATAGGAAGATTTATTTGAAATAGAAATCTTCTGAAACATTATAAATGTCTTTACGGTCACATTTGATCTATTTAATGCATCCTTGCTAAATAAACATTCACTGCATTAAAAAAAAAAATCATACTTTTGAGCAGTATTGTACATGTGTTTGGTATACCTGTGATATTGTGCCTGCAGGAACTGAAATTCGTCTTTGATGCGATCACAAGAGTCTGACGTGGTGAATTTGAGCGGCTGTGTCGATTGAGACGAAGCCTGAAAAACAAAGACAACAGATGAGAGATTCTATTCAACCCGACCTCTAAATGTCCTGATGAACAACCTAGAGGTTGGTTAACACACTGAACCATAAAAGATATTCAAATGGTAAGACTCTTCCTCTGTGGTTATCAAGCTCAATTTTAGTCTTAAAGGAGACATATTATGCCCCTTTTTACAACATGTAATATAAGTCTCTGGTGTCCCCAGAATGTGTCTGTGAAGTTTCAGCTCAAAATACCCCTCAGATCATTTATTATATCATTTCGGGCCTGTCTCTTTAAATGCAAATGAGCTGCTGCTCCTGCCCCCTTTTCCAGAATAGAGCTGCGCCATTACAGCTCGGACCTGCTAAAATCATCTGTTTTTTTTCTTATTTTGGTTCTAATTTTAAACCATATTTTAAACTTCTGATATACGGTTTTCTGAGAGCACACATCCGAAGCACACGGACAGAAAGTGGCTGTCACAGCATGTGAGTACTAAACTAAGTTCTCATTCACACACAAGTTTACGTTAAAAACACACGAGTTATACAAAAACAGTCGGTTATGTCTGTGAAGGTAAACAGCCTGGAAATAAATCACGTTTATTTTAGATCTGTGTGGCAGCAACAATATACAGTAAATAAATCAATAAATCCACAGCTCTCTTGTCTCCTCTGAGGCTGGGACTGTAAA